CCCGTCAACTGGAGACACCAAGGTGTTGCCCCGTCAACTGGAGACACCAAGGTGTTGCCCCGTCAACTGGAGACACATTTAGGAGTTGCCCCGTCAACTGGAGACACCAAGGGGTAGGATAGAGGCATTCCCCCTTGGCGATCACTTTGAACTTGATCAGAGCCTAACTTAAAATGGTTCCATGGACTGCTAGAGTATGAGCATGCTGAACAACCAGCAGGATGATGCTTCAATAGTTGGAATACTCGTTCACTCAAGAAGGCTGTGACTGAATGCTAGCTTTTGGAAAATGACCTAGGACTGTGGTGAGGCCAAAGGGCAGGTAAACAAACAAAAGTGGGACCTTAGAAGGGCAAGTAAGACATTTAATGGACAGGCGCGCAGGAATGTGAATGTGAGTTTCTGGCTTAAGTGATGAATATAGTGATTCCATATGCAATATTTGGATCCTGATCCATTTGTTTAAAGTGTGCAAACCAAGACTAGTCTTCAGCATAGTAGGACAAGCTAGTTGTCCTACTATGAAAATTAGAGGAAAAAGGCTTGATATCCTTGGACTGGAAAAGATTATGTCACCATTGGATATGTGTACTTATAACCTAAGGTTTTGCTTGCACCAAGGAACCTGATGGCAACGAATGGACTGAAAGATGAGAAGAAAATCCTGACAATGTTCGTCTTGAACTCTTAACAGGACCTATGAGCATATACTCTGAAAAGTAAAGCTCAAACCTTTGTAAGCTCCCACAACCTGAGACCTACTGGGCAAGTTAGTCAGAGGTGTTGGAAATGCAGCAGCATATACTAATGTACTGATGTCTTTTGAGCTGTAGATGGCGCTGTAGTGGAATGCTGATCCCTGTGTGGATGCTTATCTGTAATACACAAGAAATTCATTTCCTTCACAATGTTATATCCATTCATGTAATGGCCTAAGCAAGTAGAACTTATTCAGCATTCCTCAAGATTGCAGTGTTTCATCTGAACACATAACCAACAAGATGTACCCTCAAAAGGACTTTTGCTTTTCTTGGGAGGGAGTAATCTTGGTTGTTTCAATGAACAAAGGAGGATTGTGAATTCTTCCGTCCCCGTGACATTAGATATTGGTGTGTGTGGTGAGATCTGTACCAACTCAAGGCAATTGCAGTCTTGCAGTCTGAGCAATGTAGCATATCCATAGCAGCCTCACTATGAAGTCACTGCTGATGTCAATTTATTCAGAACTACCATGCCCCTGAGACCTTATTGCCCCGGCCAGTAAGTGCTATTACTGGGCTAGTAATTGATAGCTCATAAAAGTACAACACCACTGTGTAATGTTAGATGTTCATAAAGTACATCACCACTGGGGAAGGCTTCAGACCCCCATCCTTCTCCTGTTTATTCACTGCTGCCCAAGCAGGGTAAACCTGGCACAGCATCCTGCCGGGTGATTGCAGGCCAAGCACTGCTTAAAGGTTGTACAATCCTTGTGATGCAATCCACTAGCTGGACGCAGGATGCTGCATGTTTAGCAGCTGTATCACGGCTTGAAGCGGACTTTTCATCCCAAATTGAGCAGTTTACTCTGTCTTTGGGGAGCAGTACTGGTGATGAGGTATAATCCAGAAGTTCATGCATTTGCACTCTGAGAAGCAGTGATGGCAAAAGGCTGGAGAGTTTTACAATCCATTAACCCCTGCATATGCACTCTGAGGGAAAGTGCGGGCAAAAGGGGTGAAAAACCTTCACAATTCATTATGCCCATGCATTGCGCTCTCTTTTTTATTTTATTTTCATACATACCTGACCCTCACCTTAAAGAATGTAGCTGGTCTCTTGGGGAATGAGGTTAGGTAATTGACACATGATCCAACCTTACAAACACAGATGAACAGATGAAACTGAAGATAATGATGTGATTAACAGCACCTGTCAGAACCTGCTAGACACTAACAGCCATGCTGAAACCTGGAAACCACATACGCATGTGCTCAGAGTTATAGCTGAATTAGAGGCAGGATAGACTTGCAACAATACCATAAGTTACATGTAAACATTAACAACGCTTGGGGAACCACAGGCGACAGCAAAATACTCACATGAAAGGCACCCAAAGAGTTAAGGCTCAAGATTGAAGCTGACAGAGTTAGAAAACAAACACATTTCTGTAAGATCTAGTTAAGCTTTAGCAGCAGAGCACATGGCAGCAGCCTGCACTCAGCAAGCACCTGCAGGGTAAAGCACCACAAGCAAGCTAATGGATGTTTAGGCAAATATATATATATCGGTGTGAAAAAGACATAGTCGAGCCATTCACGGCTTAAAAACAAATTGTGTGGTGTTCTAGCAGTGTGAATATAGTTATTTTCATGAACAATAAAAATATGCTTTTAATCTTTCTTACAGTTGACCCAAATTATTCTAACTATTGGCCCTGTACTTTTAGCATATATAAAGCTAAATAATATTAATAGGAAACAACAATTACGAGCAGGCTGTAACATCTCATGACAATACAGGATGCGCTTTGGTGTATAGTGTAGTAATGCAATTATGTTTTTACAAATACATTTACAGATGCACATTTTCTAAGAGCTTAACTTAATCCTTCATTTGAGTAATTGTAATTGAAAAAGCATTAGCTTAAACAAACAAAGTGTGTGCCGTATTTAAGCACTGCAAAACGTGTAATGTCTTAAACAGTGTAAATATTTTCTTAAAAATTGCTTTAGTGTACAGATTGTCATATACAACAAGATGTTTACTACAAATGTGCCATATGAAAAAAAAAAGGAAAGTTCTTGTTGGATTAAGTGGATAATTGTTGAGCCAAAACTGTTGGAGATTGTGGTAAATATTTCATTTTGTACATGTGGAAATAATAAGGTTTCAATAAAGAGTCCAGTTGGAGTGCGTGGTTACTTTCCAGATTTTTGTTCCATCCATACAGTGAGAACCTTTTGCCCAAAATAGGCATACAGCAGTTCCCTCAAAGGGGGTTATGGCTCAGAATCCTTAAACTGAAGGTTTAAAGAAAACGAATATAATTACTAATCTGACAGTACAGTTAGCACATGTTACTTTTAACACATACCTTTAACATTTAGCCCTCATTCACACGAGTAACAGCCGTTACTCGTCCATCCCGTCAGCGTACGAATATGGACACCCGCACGGACGTGCTTTTCGGGTGAGAGTAGGGCGGCGTACGGCGGCGTACTCCCATAGAGAAAGACAAGGTGCTGCGTATAATCACACGCAGCACCTGTCCGTGAGCTGCCAGATACGGCTGTGCACGCAGCACGGATCTGTATG